GGCAGAGGCCTTGCAGTCCCCCCCCTTTTCTCAGAGACCTAATCTTTAGTGCATGAACAGACAGACACTGCGGACAGAAGCAATATTTAAAACCGCATTATAAGCGAAATAAGACTTGTAGAGCAGCAAAGCATTACTTCTTCATCTCACATTAGGAACTTGAGCACATCACACAAGCCTTACACACAGAAACGATGCAGATGCTGACCGCGAAGGGCCTGCGACAGCAAACCACACGACAGCTGGGACACGGAGCACACAGGAATGGGTTGCTTGGAGATAAGGCCGGGCTGTAGCACGTACACTCTTGCAGAGGACAGAGTGCTACGCAGGAGATGCACCAGAGGGAAGCTGGAAGAGGCTTCGTTAGGCTTAATGAAGCATTTGCCTTACAAGTAGGACCTAATTGTCCAGTAATCAACAGGACTCACAAGAGCTGAGCCCATCACACTGACCAAAGGCCACTTACGTTGCAGTTTGCCTTTATTTTCAGTTCTAGAGATTCCCCTCAAAATTATATTTTTTCCTGTGTCATCACTGAACAAAAGGAAATCAATGAAACTGAAACAGAAGACTACAATCACGTGTATTTCCACAGACAATTCTAGTGAGAAGGCATATTGCAACACAAGGAAGTTGAAGGGATTAATGGAGTGTAACAATTTCCCTTCATACGTCTCTAAGATTGACTTGAAAGTTTAGGACTTTAAAGCATTCCTCTCAATTGTTAGAACCGCCTCAGATGTTTTGGAAGTACCCAAGAATCAGACTGCTGGCACTCAGAGCTGACCCAAAGGCGCAGGAGTTTTAAAGCTTTTTTTTCCTCCTGGCAACTTAACAAGCATCTGAAATAATGGAACTAAAAAGGGGTTTGACAAGATGGAAGAGATTCTGCTTCCTCAGGGCTTATTTCCACTTATTTCAAATTACGGCATAATTCCTTCCCCCAGCTAGAAAATTTAAGCCAAGAGCTGGAAAATAAATTCAGATAAAGAACTTCACCAGGCAGTTCCAGGTCTCGCAAGCCTTTTAAAAAAGGGCAGGGTAAAGAAATAAAGCAGGCTAATCGCATGGGTAAAGTCATCACCACCAATTCAGCTAGCACACACTGTTCTCACACATTGCAGACTGCAAGCTGATCCTGCTACAAAAAGGAAAAGAAAATACTGGCATGACTGACACACCAAAATTAAACACTTCAGCAGCTAAGGAGGCAGGATTCAGCAGCTACAAATACGAATAATTGAGCAAAAGAAGTTCCTTAGACTTTAACGGGTTTACAGAACAAACCTGGGTCCAGAATTTTGTGACTAATTGTGAAGCCGACCTCCCACAGCCACATTTCCTTGCTGCTGTGTGAGTGATAATCAAGGTTCCCTGCTAATCTAAATTATTCAGAGCATTCGAACCTAGCTTCCTTCCTAACAAGGGCTCATTTCTGCAATCCTCGCTCACACTATCAGTTACACATCACGTCAATGTTCTACCCCCAGTCCTAGCAGAGACACTTGAATAAATTTAACTCGAAACAAGGTCCAAAAAAGCAATACTCAGTTGTTAAAATGCCTTAGCATTGCAGGCAACTTTGCATTGCTTTTGCACCTAAGCAGTAAGAAACCTCCAAGCTTTCACCACTCTGCAAGCAGGCAGAATTCATCAGGGAAACAGAATTAAAAGGAGTTTCTATTTTAAATATATAAACTCGCTTCAGCTGGTACTCTGAAGTTTCTTCTCAGTTCCCCGTGAGTGGCACAGTAAAGCTATAAAGCAATTTTAAGTTTGGCACCTTCAGCTTTGTATTTTAGCTATTTCAAATAGGGCAGAATTTAAACGGCAATTTGGATGTGCTTTGCTCAGGAGCAGGGATCTCCACAGAATAACAGAGTTCACGTTCTTTTTACCTGTCTCTGAACTCAGAAAACAGTTCTCCAACTAATAAAAGGCCACAAAAAAATCACACACACTAAAAATGCAAATGGGTTTTTGTTGCCACATTCTCCTGTTATCTAGCGTGTCACCAGATATGAAGAAACACTTCCTGGCTGCTTCACAAGAGAGCAGCAGGGCATGAAAGCGAAAACTGATGACGTTTGCAGCTCTGCTGCTGATACACCAACCTGTGGGACACGGTCACGCCTACCTCCATGGGGCACTACTGTCACTAACAGCAATAGCCCGTGTAAGGGAGTAACTACAGAGAACTAACTAGACACGAACCAGGGGAATCTGCTGCCTGCCTCCTGGCAGAAACACGTTTTCAAAGCATTTGAAGTCACCAGCTAAAAACTACTCAAAACGCACGAAGTCTAGAAACGTTTTTGGCTACTTACTTCTTTAAGCTTGGTTTCTGGGCATTCAGACTGCAAAGTGAGTGTTGCTCCTTCGATATTTCGTGGCATAGGAGTCGAACCAGGATTTATCGTCAGGTGAATCTGATCCGGAGAAATTATATGTTGCATAACCCTGGGACATTCCTTCATGATCTGCTATTAAATGAAATCCTTCTTCATGACCCTCGGGTAAAAAAGGCAAGTGATCGCTACACTGTCCTTCATCCTCATCGTCCTCCAACACGCCGTGGTCCTGCTCTATGAGAACAGTCGTCCTGTCGTACACCGTCCCAGACGAGGAGGAGACCAGCCCGTTTTTAGCGGCGATAGTGGCGAACCTCATCCCGTTGTCCTCCCGGCTCAATTCCTCCTCCTCCGCCTCGCAGCACAGCGCGGTGCCCTCGGGGCTGTTCTCCCCCATGGCTCCCCGCCGCTCACTGCGACATCCTCAGGCTGGGCCGCGACAGCTCATCTACAACGGAGGAGCAGGACAAGGGGGGTCAGAAGGGACCGGGCCGGGCCTCGAAACCCCCTCAGGGACCGCCGCGGGCGGCAGCACCGGGCCGCGGGCGGCTCCTCACGGATCCCCCCCCGCCACCGCCGCCACCCCGGGCCTCGAGCGGCCGAGCCCCGCCGGGAGCCGCCCCCAGGGCTCTCACAGCGTTCTCCCCCCCGCCCCAACCCGGAGGCCGCCCCCGCCCCCCCGGCCGCGCTCACCGAGCCCCCGGCAGCGGCGGCGGCTCCTTCCCCGCCCCGGCGGCACCATGATTCCAGCGCACTCACTTCCGCTTCCGGCCGCGCGCGGCACGCCGGGAGCGCCGCGCCCCGCCGCGGGGGCTCCCGGGAAAGGGGGGGAGGGGGGCTGGGCCCGCCCAGGCGCTCGGGCTCTGGGGTGAAGGACCCGGGTTCGAGTCCCGAGCCCCGCAGCAGCGCGCTGTGAGGCGGGGGCACACAGAGGTGTAGACACAAAATGTCCCGAATTGGACCCGCAAGGGTCACCGAGCCAAGGCCTGTGTGCTTTGGGTTCCGAGGGACGTTAAAGCCCACCCAGCTCATAGAATCCTAGAATTATTAGGGTTGGAAAAGAGCTCCAAGCTCACCCAGTCCAACCGCCACCCACTGACCGTGTCCCCAAGCACCACGTCCAACCTCTCCCTCAACACCCCCAGGGACGGGGACTCCACCACCTCCCTGGGCAACCCGTCCCAACGCCTGAGCGCTCTTGCTGAGGAGAAATGTCTCCTCATTGCCAGCCTGAACCTCCCCTGGCACAACTCGAGGCCTTCCCTCTGCTCCTGGCACAGTTCCCTGTGAGCAGAGGCCGACCCCAGCTCCCCACCCCTTCCTTCCAGGCAGTTGCAGAGAGCAATGAGCTCGGCCCTGAGCCCCCCTTCCCCAGCCCATATGTTTGAACCGTATGCCTGAGCAGAAAAAGCTCCAGCTGAGGCCATAACTGGTACTCAGCTCATCTTGTCCCTGTCTGCAGCTGCCCTGGCTCAGCAGTGTGGGCATCAGC